CGGGCACCGTGCCGCCCGCGCGGCCCCTGCCCCCTTCCCCTCCCCTGCCGCTGCGGTCCCCGCCAATGGCCGCGGGCGTGCCCCTCACCCCAGGCTATCCGGCGGCCTACTACTCCCAGCCCCTGCTGGCGCCGCCCGCGGGCTACTCTTTGCCGGCATACGTCGCCTTCCGGGGCGGCCCCGTGCCATACCCCATGATGTTTACCGGGTACCCCGGCGGCTTCGTGTACTTCCCCGCACCCCACATCCTTTTTGCCGCGCCGCCCGCGGCGGCGGCGGCGGCGGCGGCGGCGGCGGCGGCGCACATGCAGCACCAGCAGCCCCAGGCGCCGCAGTCGAATGGCCGGGTCCCAAACAGCCGCAGGCACAACCTCAAAAACTGCTAAGCAGTTTCCAGCCTGTTGTTTGTGAATCAGAGCTGGTCCGGGCGGCGCTGCTTCAACAGCCAATGCTCCCGCCCCCGTCATCGTCGGAACCAAAACCTACCCATCTCTGTTATGCCCTTCACTTGCACCCCTTGGTCACGAAGCACTCCGGGCAGCGGCATTGCACCTGCGTCCGCTTTGCACTGATATTTTGATCCGTCAAAGCGATTCTATGGTCCGAGCTGGCAGGCCCACCAGGCCTGTGTTTCCTGGTTGGCATTGGAAATCACCAAGCCGGCGCGGTTCCTGCTGTTAGTTGACGCCGCCCTTGCCCGCCCCGTCTTGCGTCGCTTTGTTTTGCGTGATTCTTTGTGACCCTGCTTAATCCTGGACTGCCGTGTGTCATACGTGAGTGCGGTACAATGGGTCCTGCCTTCTTTCTCTTGTTGGAACGGCTTTGGTTTCGTCATCAAACCGGCGCTCGCATCTCTTGTGAATGTCGTGTTGTGTAACACTGGCACAGTTCTTTAGGTAACGTGGTTGCCCCTTCTGCTGCCTCTGGGTGCTGCAGTCGTCCGGCCGCTGCCATTCTGCATGCAACAGGTCACACAAATCCATCATATTGACTTTTTTTGCCAGTATGCGGCGCATGCTGGTCAAGATGTTCAGATCGTGGCAAACTTGACTGCGCAAGTCACAGCCACGGGCAGCACCTCAATCTGAGAGCTGGCTGCGCAAATTGCCTCAAAACGCGCAGCCGCGTGCCCTCAGGAGTGGGAGCAGCACCTGGGCGCACATTGCCTCGGACAGCTGCCACCAGCCCACCACCCAAACCACCACCTCCACCGCACTCGGATACGCACGAACAACAACGACCATGCACCAGCATGCACAAAAGACTGCGCGGCCGCCCCGGCTGTTCCCTGCCAGCCGCCCCCCGCCCGCCCCGCCTGACCCGAGCAAAATGTGACCACCGCCGATGCCGGGCGCACCGTCACCGCGTGCCGAAAGGTGACGCAAGCTTGCTCAGAGCGTCCTTGACTTCTAGGGGCGACCATTGCAAATTGCACGGCCCAGTGATTTTTGCGGGCCCCCACAAATGCGTATTGCGCATTGCCATCCGACGGTCCCACACACGAAAGGGGCCCACACCACGATTGCACATTGCAGTCACCAGCAAGCGGCGGAGTGCTGAACTGATGCACGTGCCCATGTGCCACCTGCCCGCTTGCCATGTATGACACCACTTATGCCACCCACCCGGTTGCGGTCAACCCAAAAATCAGACATGTCTGAATGTGAGTGGCTGGTGCTGAAGCAGTGGAGGTTGCCGAATAGATGGGGAGAAGGCCCCGGCAGGTACAAAGGTGCCAACGTGGCTGGTGCAGCGTTGGCTGCTTCACATGGGAGGCGTGTGTGCTTTTCCGTCCAGCTTGGCTGTTGGGAATTTAGACTCTGAATACATCCCTGATTAGCCTTTAAGCTTGAATCCCTGTAACAGTGTCAACGGCAGGTACAAACTCACTGCCGGCTGACAGCTGTGCTCCATGTGCTTGGCAATTTTGTGGGGTTTTCGCCAGCTTCATCCCTGTCTGTCACGCTCGAGATGCGCTCAGGGTGCCCAGTCGCAATGTGCACTGGTCAGCTGGAAGCTCAAAGAGCTTGCTGTGGCGGGCCACACCCGGTCCTGTCGATTGCGATGGCCTTGCCTGCTGCTGACGCGAGGGGGTAACCAGGTGACGCAAGAAACCTCCACACGGATGCAACGTGATGTCTTGCCCTTCCGGAAGTGATACCCAAACACCCGACAGGCACTGGTCCTCCGTGTCCAGAGTTGCCCAAGCCGATCCGGACGAGCCAATCCGTGAACAGCACGGACAGCCAACTCGGCCTAGGATACATAGCACAGAGACGCGCTTGCATTCGTATCGCCTAGGAATTCGCACATTGCAAAGCGCAGTTATGCACCATGCGGGCGAGCCTGAGCCCCGCCCTGCGGGCAGCGCCACGCCCTCGTCGGCCCTACCGCGCGTCTGTGCTGACATGCCGCGCGGAGCTCGTCCGGCCCCCGCCCAGACGTCCCACCCAGGACAGCGGCGGCGGCGGGAGGGGGGACGGCGGCCGCGGCAGAGGCGGCGGCAGGGGCGGCGGCGGCCGGGGCAAGGCGCCCGAGGGCGGTAGACGGATGAGCCTCGACGAGGCGCGCGGGTGGCTGAAGCAGCTGTTTGCCGGCCCTCGCCTGCAGCTCACAAACGCTGCCGGCAAGGTGCGACCGTTCGTGTGTGTGCGCATGCACACCAGCCCCTGCGCGGCCAGCCGGGCTGTGCAATCCAGCCGAGGGCTGAGAGCCTGCGGTGACCAACCTTGCGTCATCAGGGCGGTTGCGGGCAGTTATAGGCGGTTGCGGGCGGTTGCAGCCCCAAGATCGCCGCTCGGCAGCCCCTTGCCCCCTCCATCCCCTCTGCCATCCGCTGCAAACCCATCACGCTCATACCTTATTCATCAACCTAGTTTCAACCGCCGCCCCCGCCCCCAAAGGACCCTTCCTCCGGACTGCCGCTCCCGCCGCTGCGCCCGGGCGCCGCGGGCCACGCGGTGTCGCTGCTGGTCAACCGTTTCCCAGTCCAGACCGGCAACGCGGAGGTGCTGCAGTACCTCGTCACCTTCCCGGACCGGCAAGGGCAGTCCGGCGGCGGGGGCACCGCCGCCAAAGGCGCGGGCGCGGAGGCCGAGAGGGGGCGGCCGCAGGTTGGCCTGGATGAGAGGCGGGGCCTGATGGAGCGGCTCGCGAGGCAGCAGGGGTGGCAGCCAGACTCCTGGGCGTTTGACGCCGGCGGCGGCATGCTGTTTGTGAGGTCCAAAGGAGACGCCGCAAACAGCCTCCCGGAGGAGCGCCGCGAGTGGCGCGTGCCCCAGGGCGACGGCGGCGGCGCCGCCGCTGCCGCAAGGCCGCCATGGCCGCGGGCCAGCGGGGGCGGCGGCGATGATGCGGTGGTGGCGACGCAGCTGCACTCGCGGTTCAGCATGGCTGCGACAGCAGGGGAGCAGCGGGAATCTGCGAGGCAGCTGCTCGGGCTCCTGTTCCGCACCGCGCTCGCCACGGTAGCGCCGCAGGCGGTGCAGTCGGAGGCGCGCGGCGGCGGCGGCGGCGGCAGCGGCGGCGGGCAGGACGTGACAGCACTGCTGGAGCGCGAAGACGCGGCCGGCGGCCGCGGCAGCGGGCGGGGCGGCGGCGGTGGCCGGGGCCGGGGCGGCGGCCGGGGCGGCGGCATGGGGGGTTTGCAGGTGGGGGGTCCGATCTGCCACAATTAGCAGGGTTGCTCTGGGACCGGCTGGGTGGACCCCTGCGTGTGCTGGCGCCAGCACAGCAGTGGGCTCAGCGATCCAGAGGCATACGAAGGTGCCGCAGCAGGATCGCCATGCCTGCGACCGCGACTAATCTGGTGCGTGTCGCCGACACGACCTTATCCCCGCGCCTGCCCGCTCGGCCGCCCACGCACCCCGCCCCCATCCAGCTCTGGCGCGGCCTCCGCCACTCGGTCCGGCACGCCGGCGGCGCGGCGCCGGGGCCGCAGCCGCAGCTGCAGCTGCAGCTCGACGCGGCGGCCGGCGCGGTTGTGCCCGCGGGGCCGCTGGCGCAGCTGCTGGCTGAGGGGGTGCAGGGCCTGGGGGAGGAGCGGCTGGGGGGCCTGGCCAGGGATAAGGACTTGCTGAGCCGCGCGGACGCCTTTGTCAAGGGCATTCAGGTGGGTGTGTGTTGGGGGGGGTGCGTGGGTGATGAGTGTTAACAGCGGATTCGGTCTTGCACGCATTTGGGGGCAGGGGGGCGGCTTGGAGGGGGGCGGCAGCGAGGGGCCCTGAGATCATAACAGAACATAAC